TAAAATCAGGAAATGTGCGGGACAAGGTTGTATCCTTTCACCATACTTGCTCAATACGTATGCTGAGCAAATTATCCAGAGAAGCTGGCTTATATGAAGATGTATGTGGCATCACTATTGTAGGACGGCTTATTAACATCCTGCAATATACAGGTGAGGCAGCTAGCTGCAAGTGAGGAGAAATTGAAGCACTTGGTACTTGAAGATCAAGGACTGTGGCCTGCAGTAGGGATTACAACTCAATGTAAAGAAGACCCAAATCCCCACAACTGGACCAATAGGTAACCTCATGATAAATGAATAATAGGTTGACGTTGTCAAGGATTTTTATCTTGTTTGAATCTACAATTAAAGTTCATGGAAGCAGCAGGCAAGAAATCAAAAAAAGTGTTGCATTCGATATATCTACTACTAAAGATCTCTGCAGAGTATTGAAAAGCAAGAAAGTTACATTGAGGACTAAGATGCACCTGACCCAAGCCATGGTATTTCCAGTTGCCTCACATGCATGTCAACGTTGGACAAGGAGTAGAAGAAGAAGAATCAATGCATTTGAATTGTGATGCTAGAGAAAAATATTGAAGTACCATGGGCTACTAAAATGACAAGATTTGGGAGATCTCTGGCCAGAGTGCTCCTTAGAGGCGAGGCTTCCTCTTATCTACTTTGGACATATTGTTAGGAGAGACCAGTTTGGTAGAGAGGAGACCAAACAGAGGAAGGCCGTCAGGGAGTTGGATTGACACAGTGCCTGCAATAACGGGTTCAAGCAAAGAACGAATGGGAGGATGGTGCAGCAGCAAGCTGTGTTTCCTTCCGTTGTGCAGCGGGTTGCTACGGGTTGGATATGTACAACCACATCACACAATGCTGTGCATATATTTGCTTTGCCTGTCGGAAGCATGACAAGAAACTCAAGAGGAGAGGGAGCCGATTTATTGTGTTTGCTGTATGTTGTTCACCAGGTCTTCCTGCACGTGCCCCAAGATTCCTTCTTCATCATTTCCTTTTTGTCTCGGGACCTTCCCTTTAGTCACTCCAGGACAGGCAGCTACTGACAAATTCATTTTTATTTGTCTAAGAGTGTCCTGATTTTCCATTCATTTCTAAAGAATAATTTCACTAAATATATGAATCTGTGGCACCATATTTTATCTTCAACAATTGAAGCATGCCGGGCCACTTGCATCCGATCTCCAAAGTTTGAGATAAAAATGATGCTCTTCTTTGGATTGCGGGTTTCAAAGGCGTCTGTGGGCATCTGTCTTCCTTATTGCTGGTAGAAATTTTTTTCCCTTGGTCTTTAAATTTGATGTTGACTTTCATGTGTCTCTGTGTGTTTTATTTGGTTTCATCATATTGCAATTTCTCTCAGCTTTATTTGCACTTTAGAAAAATTTTAAGCCATATTTTAAAGCCAGTAGTATTTAGCCCCATCCTCCTTCTCTTCACCAAGGAAACCAATATTAATTTTTTTAAGCAGGGAGAGGATGTTTACTTTTCTCTCTGAGTTCAGATTAGGTAACTTACAGTGTCTGCCTTTGTGTTCATGGACTCTTCCCCTGCCTCCCCCCTCCCTGCCCCTCCAGCCTGCATTCTGCTATAGAACCCTCTGTCTTGTTCTTCGTGCATATTATTATCTCTGCAGGTCTGTCTAGATAGGATAGGTGGGATAAACATTCTGGAGGAGAAAATAACAGGACTGACAGTTCTGGAAGTACATCTGAGAGGGGAGTTTGGGGAAAGGAAGTGGGTGTTAAAAAATCCAGGGACAAGGGAAAAAGTGATCGCTGGCAAGGAGGGTGTAGGAGGCCTGATGGGGCTTGATCAAGGGTAATGTAGCTGCCAGGAATTACTGAAACCCAAATGAAGGCTGAACATGATAGTGGGACAAGAGGAAAGCAAAAGGAAATAGAGGAAAGAACTAGGAGGCAAAGGGCATTTATAGAGGTCTAAATATAGGCATGTACATATGTAAATATATTTATATATGACAGTGGGGGCATAGATCTATGTGCATATATTTATAGGGGTAGTATTAAGGTATCAGATGGAAATTGGGCCTCTATTCAAGTACTCCCTCAATGCAAGAACATTTTGTTCTATTAAACTGGCATTCCATGATGTTCACCTTCCTGACATGGTTGCTGAAGACAAAATGGGTACATAAACAAATGTAATGAAGAAACCTGATGGTGCCCAGATATCAAAAGATATAGCATCTAGGGTCTTAAAGACTTGAAGGTAAATAAGCAGCCATCTAGCTCAGAAGCAACAAAGCCCACATGGAAGAAGCACACTAGCCTGTGTAATCATGAGGTGTTGATAGGATCAGGTATCAGGCATCAAAGAACAAAATATCATATCATTGTGAATGAGAGGGAGTGCAGAGTGGAGACCCAAAGCCCATCTGTAAGCAACTGGACATCCCATTACAGAAGTGTCTTGGGGAGGAGATGAGCCAGTCAGGGTGCAGTATAGTATTGATGAAACATGCAACTTTTCTCTAGTTCTTTAATGTTTCCTTCCCCCCACTATCATGATCCCAATTCTACCTTACAAATCTGGCTAGACCAGAGGATGGACACTGGTACAGCAAAGAGCTGGAAACACAGGGAACCCAGGTCAGATAAACCCCTTGAGGTCAATAATGAGAGTAGAGATACCAGGAGGGGAAGGGGAAGGTGGGGGAGAAAGGGGGTACTGATCACAATGATCTACATATAATCCCCTCCCGGGGGGACGGACAACAGAATAGTGGGTGAAGGGAGACCACATCGGACAGTATAAGGCATGAAAAAATAATAATTTATAAATTATCAAGGGTTCATGAGGGAGGGAAGGTGGGAGAGGGAAGGGAAAAATGAGGAACTGATGCCAAGGGCTCAAGTAGAAAGAAAATTTTTGAGATTGATGATGGCAACAAATGTACAAATGTGCTTGACACAATGGAAGGATGGATGTATGGATTGTGATAAGAGTTGTATGAGCCCCCAATAAAATGATGCAAAAAGAAGAAGAAGAAGAACTCATCCACTGGGGTTTATTTTAACTTTGATTGTTCTGTTTTTCAATATTAAAACTCCCTTTGATTTTCCTTTATAGATCTCTTTTCTAAGATTTCTCCCCTAATTTGTATCAAGGGTATCTGGTATAACCCGTTGAAGCATGTTTAGGGTAATTACTTTAAAATCTATGTTGAATAATTCTAACATCTGTCATCTCAGAGATGGTCCTTGTTCGGGTATGATGAATACTTTTTTATTGAACTTTGTATCCTGTGGGTTTATATTAGCAAATTCTTCTTCTTATTTAAATCATTATTGAGCTGACTTCTCTTGACACTTCTCTGGTAAGGCAAGAGAGGGTGGTTCCAGCGAAATGGGCATAAAAAGTCTAGTCGCTTGGCTTCGGTTGACAGGAGGTTTGACATCGGTTTCCTGGGGCAGGAGGCAGTGTTCAGGATTCCTTGAGGATACCTCCCAGACTGGGGCTGACAGTACTGGGGAGTTATTGCTTCTCGTGTGGCCTCCACTGATGAAGGGACAGATGGCCTCATTACTGGTAGACTGTGCAAGTCCTGATTTTCCACTGTTCCCATTAATACCATCCCAGTGTGGGAGTGGGAGGCTGGGGTGGCTCTTTATTACTCTGTGAGTGTGGAAGCCCAGCTTCCACTGATGCTCCTGTGTGGGTGTGGGGAAGGCCTGCTACTGCCTACCAAGAATGAAAATGCTGGCTCCCTACTTTGCCTTCTCTGCCACCACAGGAAGGGGAGGAGGGATTGGGCTGCCTTCTAAATGCCTGGGGAGGGTGGGAGGCTGGAGTCTCCACTCTGTGTCAATGTGGGTGAAGGAGGCCCACTTATTCATGTAGAACATTTTTTGTCTATAAATGTTCTGTTTTGTGAGACTGCTCCTTCCTTAGTGCCTTCAGTAGAGAGAGACATCTGTGGGGCTTTTTGTCTGCAGACATCTCTGGATTGCTGACTTCTTCACCTTCAAGCCTAGGATATGTGAATCAAAAACAGAACCCAGAACACATCCCAACACATGTGATTCTTGGGGTCCCAAAGTCTCTAGTTCATTTTCCTTTTTCTGCCCACCTTTCAGATTTGTTTTTAAGTTTGTTGTTGAGATAATCCCCGGTGCTTTTATTCATACATACAAAATCCATACCAAAATCACTACCATCGAGGCAATACTAACATACTAAGGGAACTCCCCCCCAAAAATGAGTGCTTCTACTGCATCTTCTAATTGATAGACCCTATGAGAATTTATCCTTAATTTTATTTTTAATGAGAAAGAGAGTAGAGGCAATAGTACCCTTATCTCCACCCAAGTGCTTTACGACTATCCACATCTTTCCTTTGTAGATGTCTGTCATGCTTACTCCAGTCAGCCAGTCCTGGGCTGGGAGAGATGGCCATGGCCCACGGGTTTTGAGACAGTTGTGTCTTCTCCCCATGAAGGATGGTGTCATAAGTAAACAAATGAGTTAGATGGCCAATTGGGAGGTTCACAAACAGGAGCAGGAGCTAATGACAAGCAGGTGGGAAATGGGAGAGAGCAGTGCCCTGTGTGCTCCATCAGGACCAGGTGGAAGAACAAGTAACAGGTAAAAGTGAGAGAGGCAGCCAGGAAATGGCTTAGGAGCAGTGAGGACATAGGCGTGGCCAGGACTGAGGGTGCCAATCTGGGAAAGTGCCCTGACCACCCTCGGGACTCTGAGAGAGGAGGTGGAGAGAGGGGGCAGGGAAGGAGAAGAAGAGGGAGGCCAACAGAGAGAGAGGAAAGAGAGGCAGAGAATAGAGGGAAGGGGTGAGGTGAGGAGAGGAGAAAGAGGAGAGGAGCGAGAGGGAGAAATAAAGGAGAAAGGGTGGGGAGAGAGAAAGAAGTGAGAGAGGGTGGGAGGGAGGGAAGGAGGGAGGAGACTGGACTGCTGGGCGGGGAGACAGCAGTCTGTGGGAGTCACCTCTGCTGGGCCAGCTTGGAAGAGTGTCGTCGGGAGCAGAGTCCAGGCTGTGGCTGAAGTGGCTTGCTGGAGCAAAGGAAAGGCTGGCGCTGGAGCGAGAAGAGCGACCCCCAGGAGGGAGGAAGGCAGAGACTGGCTGGGGAGGAGCCAGTCTCAGGGCTCAGGCATCCCAGCCAGTGCGCTTGGTCTCCGCGCGCCTCCGCCGGGCTCGCCAATCCCTGCGTTCCCACGGGCGGCCTCGGCTGCCACCTGGGTCCTTCGCCGGCACTCTCCGCCTTTCTTCCCCACGCGCGCCCCTGGACAATGGACGACAACTCCCTGCTCTCGGTGCCAAGGTAGGTCTGGAATCCCCAGTGCTTACCCCAGCGTCCCCCAAACTCACCTCCGCGCCTGGGCGCTGGCAAACTTGACCCGGGTCTGGGCAAAGCTGCAGCGGAGCAGCCCCTTGGAAATACCCCCAAACCAGGCTGGGCAAGGCACTCTTTGCCCACCGTGGTTCCAGTCACTGGCCTCAGAGAACAGGAGGCTGAGCTGGTAGGCGCAGGGGCAGCTTGGGGGTCCGGGACATCTCCTCTCCAGGAGAGAGGGGTCGGATTTTCAGTGCAAGCAGCCTGGAAAGGTGTCTGGTCTTGTGGGGAGAGGGGTGTCCAAGAGATGGGGATTAGGGGCAGTACAAGGTACGCCCACTTCCAGTTTTCCATCTGGTTCTTAGCAGGATTCTGAGACCCCCTAGAGTGAGCGCTACTCCTAACCCAGACCCACCCTTAGACAGCAACAAAGATACCAAAGACCTAGGTCCGTTCTCTTTCCCCAGCTCGTCTGTGAGTCCTTCCTGCCACATCTCCTGTGGCACCCCCCTTGACTCCACCGAGCCCAGGTCCACACATGGACTTTGCCTGCAATGCTGCCAGGTGCCAGGAACCTGCCACCCCTTGGGTTTGCAACTCCTCCAATCTCTTCCTTTTGTGCCCTGGTACCTTGCTCCTGGGGGGAGTCAGTAGTCCTCTGAAGGTCTGAGAGCTCTAGATTCTTAAAATGACAACCGCCCCCCCCCCCCACCTATAAACTTCCAGGCTTACATTGAGGCTCTAAACCTAGCGGTGTCCCTTGCTGAGTGTTGGTGGCTTTGGCACTCTGTGTGCCTGGCGCACAGCGGGCAGAATGGTGCTATTGTGCACAGGCTAAAGGTGTCTTCTGCTCACCCAGCCTTACCTCTCCTCAGCTGAAATGTAGTGTGATGTCCATGGTGGTGCCCCCCACCCCCACCCCACCAAACACTGAGGCTGCTCTTAATGCGAATATCAGACACTGGGTAAACAGGTCAAGCTCAGCGACTTGGAGAGCAGCAATGATCCCACAACTGGCTAACACTGGATCACCAAGTAGTCAAAGTAGAGGTGGGAGAGGAGGTTCCAGCCTGCTTGCCAAAGGTGTCAGAGCCTGCCATCTAGAGCCTAAATATTTATACAGCCATAAATTCGAGCTTTCTTTCCTGCCCTAGCATTTGTCCCTAAGTGGCCTTTCTCCCGGGAGAGTAGCTAAGGCTCTTTCAAAGCTGGTGGTGAATTCTAGGTGCAGCCTTAGGCTGAGCTTAAAAGAGAAGTTTTAGCTGTCTGGCCAGCAAGGTCCACACCCCCATGAGGCAAGCCCTTCCCACCTGCTCTGATGTGTTAAAGGGACTGGGTGGAGGGCGGGGGTGGGGGGAGTTGAGAAATATTTTTAAAGCTTAAAAACAAATCCCAGGGCCACAAGTGTGGGGGTAAAATTGTAAAGCATTTTGAAAATCAAGTTAACTGGAGGCATTGCTTCTCTGTTTCTATGTATATCTGTGCTACTGCACGAGGCCAACAGCCCTGGGTGGTTTACTGGGTGGTGTTATCATTTCCATACATGTGCTTTGACTAAGAGGTTGCTAGCTTTATGCATGTAGTGTTTCAGATTTACAATCCTGCCAAGTTTAAATCCTGAGTACCGCCCTATGCATTTTTTAACATCCTAGAGACACATTGTGGTCATTTTCTAACATCCTAGAAACCCTTCGGGTCAAATTTCTGAAAACCATGTCTCTTGCAGTACAGTAGACTGGTCGGTCGAAAGATAAACCATAGTAGCCGTCTTGCTTTCCATCTTCATCTATGAAAATGGTCACGGATTTCACCCTCAGCCGCAGCAAATTCCACCTTGTGACTCAAAGCCTGTTTACTGACCAAGCCAGGTCACATGTTCATATATTAGTGTGGTCATTTCAGCTGTTCCATTAGCAATGCTTATTCGGGTCAATAGGATTCCATTCCCTCCAATAAACCACAGCGAACCCCTCGCCTGCATCCGACTTGATTCGGACTTGGAGCAGCCCCCACAGGAAGATGGAAGTGTTGAGGGGACAGGCAGGGGCAGACTGCGGCCTCTTTCACCCGGAGCAGCTGGTGGTTTGTAACAGCTGACTCCCCTTAACTCACTGTGCCACAGAGGCGTCTTTGCGTACTAAAATAGATCCATTTGTTCTTCTATTTACTGACTACAAGAAGAGTCACTGCTTTTCTTTAAGACCAGAGAAAACCATAGGTATTGCTCGGGGGGGAAAAAGTCCTCCAGAATTTAAAATGGTGGGAAAAACCTCAGTGTCACCCAGTCCACGCCAGCTCACAGCCATCCTGTAAGACAGGGCGGAATGGCCCGGTGAATTTCCGAGACAGTAACTCGTTAGTGGAATAGAGTCCAGGCTTTCTCCTGGGGAACAGCCCGTGATTTCGAACTGCTGGCCGTGAGGATGTCAGCCCAATGAATAACCACTGTGACACCAAGGCTCCTCGAATGGTATGTGGAAGCCATATATTAGCCACACCCCTTGCCCTCAAACTTGGAATTTTAAAGACTTGAGGACTGGATCCTCATCAAGCACATGACTGCACCGTCAGGAAAACTAACCATTTTTGTTCGATTCATGCTTTATAACCAGAATTGTATTCAATATCTAATAAAAGAAAGTTAGTGGCTAGAAACTATTGTATTTCAGTTTAGAATGATAACAATGTAAATCATTATGCTTGAAAACTGGCAGAGAAAATAAAATAAAATGACTGAGTAACATACCAGTTTCATGACAAAGGCACAATTTGTGTTGGTTTTTACACTTTCTGGAAATGTTTAATTAGCTAAAAGATATGAATGACTGCAATTCTCATGCAGCACTAGTCTTGGAAGCTTCATCTGTAAATGTAAATTGACTTGTACTTTATTAAGAGGTTCTGGTGGCCTAGTAGGTTACAGGTCGCGCTGCTAACAGCTGAGTTCACAGTTCAAACCTACAGGTCGATCCCTGAGAAAAAGATGAGGCATTCGGCTTCTATGAATATTTTACAGCCCAGAAAAGCCACAGAGACAGTTCGGCTCTGGTTTTTTGTATACATGATTACTATAAAGGAAGCTTTTCGGGTTCTCAGACTATCTTATTATTATATCTTATTATATTATTATTTTATCTTATACTATCTTATCAGTGAAAGCTTCCACTAGTTTTTACTAGGGATATTTTCATTTTAAAGCAATACATCGTGTGGGTTACAGGGCAGATTTCTTAAAAGCTGGAAGAGGCTTCCAACACGAAATGGAATATTCCCTTTGTGAGCTATATTATAGACCCAGAACCCACCACCTTTCTAACTAATGGTTTAGGTCAAGAGGAAATAAAGAAAATAATTTTTTTTAACATCTAAAAGTTTGTGTCGAGCTTCCTTAGACACCTGTTTGATGAGACGTTTACCTGTTTTCGTAAGGTCACTCAAGCAGAATGCATTGTTACTCCTTATAAAATAAAGTCCTTTTCACCACACTGGTTGCTTACAGGTGGATGGAGCCCTAGCGATGTAGTGGCCAGCACACCGGGATGCTCACCACAAGGCCAGCAGTTTGAAACCACCAGCTGCTTCTTGTGAGAAAGTTAAGGCTTTGTACTCTCCAGAAAGAGCTACAGTCTTACCAACCTATGAGGGCAGTTATAGTCTGTCCTATAGGGTCACTGTGCATCAGAATCCACCAGATGAAGGTTCATGTTTTCCTCAAAGGTTATCCCTTCCATTACCTTATTAGGTGGCCACATCCTTGTTAGTTATGACAGCCCTCATTATCTTCACTGCCCAGCTACAACATTTGAGGCCAAAGAGAATTAAATGAGGTAAATAATTAGATTAAAAATCCACACCAAGAGTATACAACAGGGTCAGGTCTTGCACAAATTCCTGGCTTCGAGTTCAGCTCCCTTTCTACCAAGGATGTAAAATCCTACTTTATGGCAGATGGAGAAAGAAAAGACGATTCTCCAGCACTGCTTGTCACAAATGATGATGCCATTAGATCACACAGCGCAGCACAAAAGCAAGAAGATCAACCTGTATAGCCGGCCATGGCTGAAAAGAAAGTTGCGCAAACAAATATTTTATCAAGCCCTGGTGGGGTAGTGGACTAGACCTTCAGCTGCCAACCACAGGGCTGGTGAACCAAGCCCACCAGCAGGAAGTGTCTACCTGCTTCCATAAAGATGCACAGTCTCACACTGTCTAGAGAACCCTTCTGCCCCGCCCCGTAGGCTCACTGTGAGTGGGAGCCAACTCGATGGCCGTGGGTTGGAGAGTCTGTATTTCAGATTTGGAAGGAGGTCTTCACTGGCTTCATCAACCACTTGCCTTCTTAAACGCGGTTGTTGTCTTTGGACCTCAGAGTTTTATTTCAAGAATAACACCTTTATCTTGCACCTCTAGGGAGAAAGCCATACAACATGAATCTGGAGTCAGTGATGTATAGACTCAGATTTGCAATCAGCTTATTTGAACTAGTCCTCGATGAAACCCCCACCACATGTTTGCCAGGTGGTTGTGTTCTTGTGGTTTGAATGTTGCTGCGATGCTGGACGGTACACCAGCATGGGCACATGCTGGACAGGCTTTGTCAGCACTACCAAGATAGGACCTGGAAATCTATGTCCGATAAAATAATGGCCAGGGAACACCTTCTGAATAGCAGCATACCATTGCCTGATATAGAGTCAGATGAGGAACCCTCAGGTGGGAAGACATTTAAAATATCACTCTGGGCCTTTGTACATTTCATTATAATATTTTTACTTTGTCTTCTCAAGCTGCCCTTTGCAATTGTCTATTGAGCTCTTTGATATTTGCCTTTGCTTCTCTACAGTGAAGAGCACATTTCTGGTTTCTTTTGACATCCACTTAGATCTTTTCCTTCTTTCCTGTTGTGGTAGTTACATAATATCATGTCAACTTGAGGAGACTAAGAGTAAAGGGGTGGAGTCTAGGCTGTCAATCAGGTCACAGCCTGA